ACCAGGCTCCTCATCAGCAGCACAGTCTGGGGGCTGAGAAGGCAGGGCCAGGCCTTCCCCTCCCCACAGGTGCATGCAAGGCCTCCATGGACAGGTATGTGGCTGGTGCCCATAGCAGGGGCAGGTGCACTCACCCAGGTCACCCTCAGTGCAGCCACCTCTTGGCCTCAAGGCTCTGGGAGCTGGAGGAGGCAGAGCAGAGGTGGGCGGTCTCAGCACCTCCCTCAGGAGCATCCCAGGCCGCAAGCCCCTCTGTCCTCATCACTGATCTGGCCTACCCTTCTCCGCCTGCACGGGGCAGCTGGACCAGGCAGCACCACCTGCCGGGCAGGAGCTGAGATGAGACGTTTGATGGGAGCACAGAATATCGGCGGCAAGGTCTCCCGCTCATGCATTTTTCATGCCTTTGTCTGAGAGATGGGAGACAGCCGGCCCTCCTCTTAGCTCCACTGTGAAGGGATAATTAACGTTCACACTGAGAGGAGAAAAAGGCAGGTTTCTGGTGCTGCTTAATGGCTGGGCTGATCCGTGTCTCCCAGCCCAGGCAGAGACGCCTGAGTTCCGGTGGCCGTGGGGAGGCCTGCGTGATGCAGGGGAGGAGGGTCGCTGGTTGGGTGAGGGGGTTCATGCCCCATCCCCACAGGGCACAGGGCTTCAGATGCTGCCAAGGTCTAGGCTGGTGACGTGAGGGTAGGGGGCTGGAGTGGATGACGATGGTAATGATGATGACGCTGCTGAAGAAAATGGTGATGGTGATTAAGATGGTGGGTGAGGAAGACAATGGCAATGGTGGTAGTGATGAGAATTACGAAGATGATGGTGATGAAGATGATGAGAGTGATGGTGGTGGTGATGTTGGTAAGGATGGCAATGTTGACGGTGATGCTGCTGCTGATGGTGGTGCTGATGAGGATGATGATGGTGCCAGCGATGATGATGGTGGTGCTGATGAGGATGATGATGGTGCCAACGATGATGATGGTGGTGATAATGAGGGTGATGGTGATGAAGGTGATAATGATAGTGACGATGATGGTGGTGGCATAAGAGTGATGATGGTGATGGTGGTAGTGGTGGTGGTGGTGGTCGTCATGGTAGTCATAATTATGGCGATGTGGTGATGGTGGTGATTGTGGTGGTGATGATGATTTTAATGACCTTGCTGACAATGGTGCAGATGACAATGACAGTAATGATAGCTAATATTTATTGAGCCTTACTGCAGCCAGGTTCCATTCCAGTCGCTGTACACATGTTGACTCACACAATCCTAAAATCAGCCCTAAAGTGGAGGTGCTGCTTTCTTCTCTATAGATGAGGAGACTGGGGCTCAGGGAGGTCAAGTCGCTTGCCTAGGTCACCCTGAGACCTGGCTCAGAGTCTGTACTTTTCAAACCCCACGATCCTACTTCCCAGCATGAGAAGAGGCTCCCGGCCCCTGGCCAGGGTGATTGGGGTGCTGAGAACTGCACTGCGACACGCCTCTCCAGGGGGAGCTGCTGCCCAGCACCAGCCCCTGCCCATTCTCAGTAGAGATGGGTGGAAATAGGCGTTTATGAGAACTGTCTAGATGTTTCAATGTTAGCATCTAATTTCAAAACAATTGGGCCAAACTGGGTCCAGCTGGGTCCCTGCTGCTCAGGCCACTGCTGTCGGGATGAGGGTCAGGGAAGGCATGGTCGGAGCCTCAGGGTGGTCAGGGACCCCACCATGTGTGTCACAGAGGAAGAAACGGAGGCTCCGGGAACTGACGATGGGACTTGGCCCACAGCTCTCCCATCCTGAAGGCGGGGTGGAGTGGTTGGGCTTCCAATGAGGAGCCCTGGGCCCAGCGCTGCCCCACCCTCCTGCTGTGCAGCCCTGAGCCCATGGGGGTACTTGTGCTGGTGCCCCTACTCTGGGAAGCACCCAGGCAGGAGCCACGGGTCAGGGCAGGGACCTCATCGCTGTGTCTCTGGCGGCCCCCAGACATGGTGTTTCCCAAGACCCCCAGTGCTGCCGTGCACGCAGGGCCTCGACCCCCGATCCCAGGAAGGGCCAGTGGGAGGACCAGCACAGGAGAGGTGTTATCCACACGGTGACTGGGCTCAGGCCTGGCTGAGCACAGTGGGCCCGGAGGCTATGTACCTCCCGGCGCGTCCCTGGGCCCAGGACGTCCCTTGAAGGCCATCCATTCAGGCAGAGGCTAAGGACAGACGTGTTTGCCCTTCTCCCCTAATTCACGGTCACGCTCAATCCGGCCCCGTCGAAGTTAGACATTAATCTGCAGGACTTAATGACGGGGTGCCTTGATGCCTGCCTGCCCGCCTGCGCTGCGCTGCGTGGTTAATTATAGGGCCGTGCCTCCTCTGGGCTCTTGCTGGCGGCCCCTCACGGCTCCCGTGTGGGGGTAAATCCACCGCCCACTGCCCTCCTCAGGCGATGGATGCCAGCCTAGAGCATGGGGTGGTTGTAGATGGGCCTGAGGTCCTGGGTCTCTCCGAGACAGGGCTGGGGGGGACGGGGGTCTCAGGCACAGCTGAGAGCAGGAGGGCAGCACACACCATTCCCCGCCGTGCCCTGAAAGCCTCCTGGGAATTTCCAGCTCATGGCTGTGCAGCGCTAATTAAGTGGAAAGAGCCGATCAGGTCCTGCAGCACTGGGCCCAGCTATTTCTGTGCCAGCTGCTCCCGCAGAGGGGACCCCTGGTTGACCCCCAGGGCCTCTGCCAGGCTGACCCCTGGGCCAGACCACCGGGCCCCTCCCTGCTCTCATGCCCCCTCGTCCTAAATGCCAGTCACACCCCCACTGCCCGTCTTCACGCCCGGTCGTGGCTTCCCGTCACCCTGAGTTTCCGTCCAAGGTCACAGTGGAGATGAGATGCCACATGTTCTGGTGTGTTCTGGCTCCACAGCTCTCCATCCTCACCCCTCCCACTCTCCCCCGTCACCTTCCTTCTATGCCCCGGACACAGAAGGCTGCTCCCTGCGGCCTCCACCCTGCGACCCGCCCAGCCTGCTCCTCCTGACCCTGCACAAAGCCCCTCCCCTCCCAGCCCACCGTCACGCTCGTCCTCCCTGCACCCACTACCGTCTGCAGCAGCCTCACTGACCCTGTGCCTGTGGTCTGCACCCTCCCCTTCCTGCTGCCCCGTCTTTGTCTTTGTTCCCTCCTGTCTCACTGAGGGGCCCGGGCCCTGCCCTTGGACGCCCACCTGGAACTGAAGACCACGCGTGGTTTCTCTCTGCACCCAGTGCCCATGGGGCACGGCCCACGAGGTGCCAGTTTCCCAGAGCAGGCCCTGCCACGAGGCTGTGAGGGTGGGCGGCCCTCTGATGGAGCTTTCCCCGGCACACCTTGGCGGGTGTTAAGTGTTCCCAGGAGGCTGCTGGCGTCTGCCTCAGTGCCCTGAATCTTTCCAGTGTGGTCATCAGCCCTCCTGGGCCATTGCTGGCACCGCCAGGCTTCAGCCACCATGAGATTCCCCTCGAGCCGGGTCCCTGGGAGGCCGACTCTGTGTCTGATCGTGAAGACCCAGAACAGGGGCCCCCTAGGAAGGGGCTGACCCGAGTGTGCAGTGGGGGAGGCCGTGTCTGTTCACCTGTCCCTTCCTGCCGTATGGGGAAGCCGCCACGTGGAGGTCTCAGGCCTGGCCCTGTCGGGTGTGGCCAAAGGCTTGGGGGTCCTGGCCGAGGCATTCCCACCACCCCGCAGGCCCAGGCTGCTGATACCTGTCACAGAATCGAAGCTGTGCGCTACCGCTGCAGTTTTCACACATCTCCGTGAACTTTGTCCCTGAAAACATTACAGCCTGCAATTTGGGGGCACGGAGGAAGGCCGTATAATTTGATTACCTTTGCTAATCAAATGGAGTACAACATAGAAAACCAGCAATGCGTGCGTCTGACGGGGCTGTTGTCCTCTCTGCATGGTGGAGAGGCTTCTTCTCAGCAGTGTAATTCATGTGACATGAACGTATCGTAATTGCTGTTGCTAGGGAGGGATTATTTTTATTCTTTTAGGGGAAATTGCCGTGATTTCTAGAGCGGTCTGTTCTTTTTAAAGCTCTGCCTACTGAAAATGGAAAACGACGATTTGTTTTCCCGATTCTAACAATCTTTCATTAGCCAGCTGAGCTGGCAGCACTCCGGGCACAGAGACACAGAGTCAGAGCGCTGGGCTGGACCAGAGGTCGAGTCTGCAGGGCTGCCGATCCCAGGCACGCGCCTCCCTGCGGGTCCACCTTGAGTGCCCGCCCTGACTCCAGGGCATCCCAAACCCCCCCGTTGGGGCCCCTCCTCTGAGCTTAGCTTTTCCGCCATGCAGGGCCAGGGGCCTCTGCTCAGTTTTGGGCCCAGGAGAAGGAACCTGAGCTGGGGTCGGCCACCCGACCTGGTCCTTCTGCCCTTGGTCTTCCCAGGTTCTTGGTCCGGGCCACACACCCATGACCCCACCCAGGCTAGGCTACAGGGTAGGGTGGCTCCCCCACTCACTGTGGGGCCTCCCCCGCCCTGGCGTGGGGGTGGGGCTGCTCCATGTTACTCTGGGGATGGGGCATCTCCGGGCTGACCCTGGGGTCGGGGCTCGAGGATGACCGCAGGTGAGGGGCCTCCATGTCTCACTCTGGGACCCCATGTTTGCTCTGTGGTGGGGCTGGGGTCAGGCAAGGCCCCCCGAGGCTGCATGACCCCCTCCTGGGCAGGTGGGGGTGTCCTGCCCACACCTGAGGCCACGTCTGCCTGTTTGAGAGGCAGGGACCCTTCCCCTTGTCACTCTGTGGACATCCAGTGTACCCACTCTGGGGCCTCAGCCAAGGTCAGACCCCAGGAAAGGGGCTCTGGGCTGACCTGGGCTGCGTCCTCCTCCCAGGCCCACAGGACGCCCTTCCACCTCATGTCCATTCCCCTGACGTCGGGACCCCACGCTGTTCCCAGACGACCCCCAGGCTGGGAGACCCTGCGAGCCCGTGGGGTGGGTGGTGTGGCAGGCGGCGGCGCTGACTGTCTCTCTCCCCCCCCCAGTGTGACAGCGAGAGCGACCTGGACGACAAGGTAAGCCTCTCCTCCGAGACCCTCACCGCCCCGCCCTGGTCCTGCTAACCTGCACCAGTGTGGGGCGGACCTGGACTGTGGGGTCTTCCGGACCTTCGTTCCCCATGCTGGGCTGGGGGAAGGACCTGCTCGGTCTGTCCATTGGGATGGGGCTGTGGGCGGCTGGCCCCCTGACCCTGACTGTGGCTGGGTGTGAACGTGTGACGTTAAGCCCACCTTGGCTGCAGCCCCCCCAGGGTTTCCCTTCTCCAGAGCCATTTGGGTCCTGGCAGAGTCCACCCCTGTGGCTGGTTGGCTTGACCCCTCGGGTGCGGGTAGGGGAGAGAGTAAAGCTGCAGGATCTCCCCCAGCACTGTTCACGGAGCGCCTGCTGAGTGCTGGGCGGTATAGGTGTGGGGACACTGGGGGTGGTGGTGGTTGAGGGGGAAGACAAGCCCCACTGCACACAGCTCACCACCTGTGTCCACCATCGACGTTACGGACGTGGTGGGCAGGTTGGGCGGCAGGCGGGAACCGTCCTGTCTGGGACCTCCTGCTGTGCTGTCCCCAGGGCTCTCTGGGTGCTCGAGGCCTGAGGTGCAGATGGAGGACTGGAGGGGCTGGGCCCTGAGTGGTGGTGGGGGGGGCATGCACGGGCCTAGGGGAGTGCTGGGGCCTGGAAGGGCCTGACGGGGCTGTGCGTGAGTGCCCATCATATCCCAGGTCTGGACATGGGAGGTGCTGGACAGTGAGGGCACCTTCGAGAAGGAGCTTGAGCTGCCATGAGTACGGAGCCCCAGAGGCCCGGCAGAGGCTGGCAGCCCCTCGGCATGGGTGGGGGACCCGGCCTCCCCTGGGGGCTCTGCAGGCCTCTGCAGAGCAGCCCCTTTCTAAGCCTCAACCAGCCCCCACCCTGACGGACTGAAGGGTCTTCAGGATGGACGGGAGCCATCGTCCATCCTGATCTCGTTAATGAAATTAGATCAGGTGCACCTGGGGAAGCCGCAGTGCACGGGCTTCACCTCCTTTAATTTAAAGCCAATTTGCCAGGAGAGTGTCTCTGAAGCCCCGGGCTGCTCCGAGGGGGTGGGGGCTCGGGAGCAGTGCCAGGGCTGCTGGCCACTCCCCACCCGTGGAGCCCGGCCCTGCAGAGGACACAGGGCCTCATCCCTGCTCTGCAGCTCCTACAGCTTACCCACCGGCCCGGGGCCTCCCGGCTCCACACCTCCCTGGTGTGGTGGGCACAGAGGGGCTGGCATAGAGGTGACATGGGCCGTGCCCCCAAGAGCACCTTCCTGGGAGTCTTTGTAGGAGGCCTGGTGCCTGGAGTCCCCATGGGCCTGCTGTTCTCTCAGCCAGGGCCACCCGTTATAGGGTGTGGGCTACACCTAGCACGGGGTGCCCTCCATGGGGTGCTTGCATGGGGTGTCCTACACAGGGTGCTCCACACAGGGGTGCCCCACACTGGGGTGCATGCAGAGGTGCCTGCATGGGGGTGCATGCATGGGGGTACACACATGGGTAACTGAGGCCAGCTGTTGACCTAGGGCTGCCCAGAGGTGCTGTTTTCCAACTGTCGGCCTAGAGGTTTTTGGGCCCAGCTGACCTCTGCTGGCCAACTTGGACCCGGCATCTGAGAGGCCTGAGTGTGGGCAGCTGCATGGGGGCAGGGGTGGTGACCTCATCCAGAGGGGGCAGCCCCGGGCATGAGAACCCGGGCAGGTGGTGGTGATGCACGTGCAGTGACCACAGAGTGCTGGGCCTGCACGCGTCTCTGCATGAGCCTCAGCACCCGGGTCCACGAGAGAGGGTCCTCAGGGCCGTCAGGCACACACTGCACACGCACACATGCTCACACACAAGAGAGGGTCCTCAGGGCCGTCAGGCTCACACTGCGTGCACACACACACACACACACATGCTCACACACGAGAGAGGGTCCTCAGGGCCGTCAGGCACACACTGCACACACACACAAACACACACACACATATGCTCACACACGAGAGAGGGTCCTCGGCCATCAGGCACACACTACACACACACACACATGCACAGTCACACATGCACACACAGGAGAGGGTCCTCAGGGCCATCAGGTGCACACTGCACACACACAGGCTTGCACACACTCCCAAACACACCCTCACACACACACACACACGCATGCTCACACATGCATACTCATGCATACAGCAGAGAGGATCCTCAGGGCCGTCAGGCACACACTGTGTGTGCGCGCACACACACACACGCTTACACATGAGAGAGGATCCTCACGGCTGTGAGGCACACACTATGCACGCACACACACACACACATGCTCACACACGAGAGAGGATCCTCAGGGCCGTCAGGCACACACTGTGCACACACACACACACACACACACACATGCTCACACACGAGAGAGGATCTTCAGGGCCGTCAGGCACACACTGTGCACACACACACAGGCTCGCACACACACACACACCCTTACTTGCATTCATGCACTCACATAGGTGCACACACACACTCGTGCTGACACACGCACACACCCTGCCTCCTGAGACACAGGGCGGCCCCTCCACCGTGAGAGCCCCAGGTAGCTCATCATTTCTGCCTCAGGAAGCCGCACTGAAGACACATTAGCCGTCAGGAACTAGCTTGTCACAGGGAGACGAGCCTTCTTGCTGGAACCACCAGGGACACCCAGAGAGGAGCTCCGTGCTAGAGTCATGCATATCAGGGGGCAGTGCACAGAGCAGGTCCATTTAGAACAGGCCAGAATTCCACAGAAATGGTACTTCTGGTAAACACATTTTAATGAATGTATTTAAATTAATACGACTTGGGTGACACTAAATATGTGTTCTAATTCTTTTCTAAATGTGTGGTTAGAACCGTATCTCGACACTGGAAACTAAACGTTCTGGAAGCAGGTTTGCATCTCACGGTGAGGCGGAGCAGTCAGCCCCTGGGCTCGGGCCCCATATGGGGGCCGCCCGCTGCCGCCTTCCAGCCCATGCACTCAGCCACTTTCCAGAGCCCCGGAACCGTCCCCTCACTGGTGAAGTAGACATAGGGTGGCCTGCGGGCAGGTGGGCCATGGGCACTGGGGGCTTGGAGCACGGCGGGGCACCAGGAGGGGACTTCCTGCTGTTGTGTTAGATTTAGCAGATTAGGTCACGGTAGCCAGTGTGTGCAGTTCCTAGAAGCGGGTCAGTGCCGCTGGCATGGTTTTTGCTGAGGGTCATGCTGTTCCCAGCAAAGCAGGATGAACAGAGGTGCATTAGTTCCCGGGTGGAGAATGGCAGTATTTACGCCCTCACCGTCTGGAGGCCACAAGTCCTAAACCAAGGTGTCTGCAGGGCTGGCTCCCTGGGGGCTCTGAGAGGAATATGCCCCAGGCCTCTCTCCCGGTTGCTGGTGCCAGCCGGCGGTCTGTGGCGTTCCAGGGCTTGTGTGCGCGCCACTCCGTCTGTGGTCCGTCATCACGTGCCGTTCTCCCTGTGTCCGTCTCCACATCTCCTCTTGGGTGTTCACGTGGCCTTTTTAAGAGGACCTTCATTGGTTTAGGGCCCACCCTGGTCCAGCGTGACCTCATGCTGAGATCCTTAGCCAATGTCATCAGAGACCCTGTTTCCAGACCAGGTCGCAGTCCCAGGCTGCGGGTGGACGTGTGTCTCGGGGGTCTCCGTTCTATCACTACGCAAGCGGCCGCATCCCGGCCGCATCCCTCTCCTCTCAGCCACCTGGGGTGTGGGCGGGGGTGGGTGGGAGCCTCTAGAGTCAGGCCCTGTCAGTTCTCCTCCCCCTCAGGCTCCCAGCCCCTCTAGGTCAGACCCCGCCAATCTGGGGCTTTCCAGGGGGTTGTCTTCCGTTTCATGAAATCCCATGGTTTTGCACGGTCTGCAGTTTCCCCAGTGCCTGATTCGCATCAAATTTTCGTTTTCTGGTACGATAATGAGGCGCGAGTGGAAGTGCCTGCAGGACGTCTGGAAGGTCCCGTTGCCGGCGTGATCCGTTTGTGAGTGAGCTCTGTCCGGCTCTTGTTTCTCTCCAGCGTTGCCGGGGAGGCTGCTGCCGATGCACACGCACCCCCTTGCCACGTCCCCGCCTTCTCTCCCACTCTGGCCCAGCGGCTCTTCTGGCTCAGGAGCCCAGGCACGTGAGGGGTCCTGGCTCCATCCCGTGGAGAGGCCACACCCCAGCGGGGCGGTAGCCTGCAGAGCAGGTGGCAGGGGACTGCCCGAGGCCTCCCCCTGCACTTGGCGTCCTAGCATGTGTGACTGTCACGTGGCCTGGGGACACCCAGGGACTGCACGGGGCAGGGGCGCCCAGGGCAGGGGGACTCCGTTCTGGGGCATCCCCAGGTGGCAGCGAGGCTGGCATCTGCTCCCCGTGCCCAAGGACAGTGTGGGTGGTCACGAGGCCTTACCTCTCCCACCTTAATGATGACAGATGCAGTTATAATATCAGCTGTGAACCGTAAGCTTTGGGTAAATACGTCTCTGAAAACCACCACTGAGCCCCTAAACAGATTGCACATATTCGGTTTCGAAGCCTGGTGCTTAATATTCTCTCCTCCCCCGCGGGCACCCTCGTCTCTCCTGATGATCTATTCCCACTCCATTTCCTTCTAGATTTCTAACCTCATTAAATCTCTCATATCACAGCTACTTCCCGTCCTAAACAAAATTAAAGACAGGCTGGCCCCAGGTTTTTCAATTCTAATTTCACTCCCAAACCAGAGGGGCAATGGGGCTCAGAGGGGCGTCTTTTTACGCCCACCAGGATCCAGCCTGTAGGGCCTGAGTGCCGAGGGGCAGCTCGGGAACTGGGTCCGACATGGAAACAGCGCTTACGATAGATGATCCACTTTCTCCCTGAGGACCTCACCTCTGGCTTGGGGTGTGGGTAGGAGGGCCCGGGAGGCCTCAGGGCAAGGCCACACCGAGGGCCAGGCCCTCAGACCAGGTCTCACTCCCCCTGAGATGTTAAAATCCCAGCTGCTCCTTCCAGTCCCCGGTGCCTTT